AGAAATACCGAACATCTTTTCTAAAAAAAAAAAAACTAAGGAAACTCTAAACAAACTACATACTGATCAAAACTTTTCCTGATTTATTATAATATTAATCACAATCTTGCATATCTAATAACAATTTCTCTATAAATTTCTCCACAAGTTTTACTTCATTTTCCATGTTTTAATTCCACTATCGCGAATAACATTATTCAACAAAAATATAGAGCAGGAATACTCTGCAAATCCAGAGACTGATAAAACGTATGATAAATTACAGTATGTGTATAAATTGCTATGCATATTCTATCGTGTAAATAAGTACATCGTGCCACGACGAGTTTTACGCCGGCACCCATAAAATATACCATATCCGGTAAATGAGAGATTTCTGTGCTAAAAATAAAACGATACTTTTCGTACACCCGTTGCTTCTTTTTACCTCGCTCGATTATTTACCATTGCGATCATGTTTCAATCATTAACCTCGCCCACAGCTTTTTCTACACTTAAGCAAATTTACTATAGTTTTATAGTTAACAATTCGTTAACGTTTAATTCTATTCCGTAAATCGAATACATCGCACGAGAATAATATTCAAATATGAGCTATATCCCGCGCATTTTTCTTTCTCTTTTTTTTTGGCGTAAACGTACAGTGTATGCTTTGTAGTGCGAAAAATTTGCAAGTCATCGCGACTGAATGCATAAATATTAATGGCTTCGATTTTTATTGCGACTGTAAATGATCATCTGCAGAAAAGATCCCTGGAAAACTTGACGACGATCAAATTTAATCGAAAATTCTCGCGGATAGTAATGACAGAACAATTTGTCAATAATTCTGAATATTATCTGTTTCAAATAATATCTGATTTTTTGAGAATAATAACGGTTTTGAACAATAATGATGAAAATTGTTATTGATATTAATTCAATGACGGTATTGCAATAATGTTTAATCGTTTCGCACACTTTGACGTCACGATCTTAATTAATTCGCCATTTATTTTTTCAAACTTTAAATATGGAATTATACTTCGTATTATCGTATTTCAATGAAAAATTCTTATTTTTTAATCGTTTCGGCCACTTTGACGTCACAAGATTAATTAATTCATCATTTACATATTTTTCAAATTTCAAATATCGAACGATATTTCATATTATCGTATATTAATGAAACCGGCCTGTAAATTATCATAAATCGTACATACTTCAAGTAATGAATTTCCCAAATATTATTAATATTTATTAATCCGTTCCGCTACTAGGATTGCAAATCGACTGGATTAACATGAGCAAAAAATTCTCACCACGTGGTTATAATTTGAAAATTACACAAAACATGAAATCTCTTCTTCTCTGTACACTTGTTTAATTATGTGCATCGAAACTAATTTAATTAATCTTTTTTCTCACGGTTGACATCAAACCAGCTAACGTTTCTTATGAATTTCAGTTTCTTCGAGTGTTTTTAATCACTTCCTTTGTCTACAGTTTCACCTCACTTAATACCTTATTTAATAATTTTTTATTTTGTTTATTTTTACTTACTGTTTGTTTATTTAACTTTACGTTAAAAATCCAGTTTCAATCTGATAATTCTGTTTATCCCTAGGGATTGTAGTTTGTTTTTTTAGAAGAGTAGCTTAAGATTCTTATCACACTTTTCACCACGATTAAGATGTAAAATCAATAATACATTTCTTTAAGTTTCGCACATGACATAACTGAAAAAATTTCCACACTTCAACTACAATTTAATTCTGAGTGCAATTACATCATAAATTAAGTCCGCAATACAGTTGCTTAATCTTATCTGCAACACAATAGAAACAAAGTTTCCTTATCTTTATTATATCATAGATTGTAACTCGCGATTAATGAGATAACTTTTACCAAAATGTGAAATCACGATTTTTAAAAAAATAATTTTCAATCAAGGAAAACGAAATCTTGCAATTTCATGAATAACAACAATTTCTATCATTGGGTGATAATAAAGCGTTAAACGAGAAGAGCTTCGATATTTAACCAATATTAAACGATTACAAAACAATATGTTTTTCTGTCATAAGTGAATGTTGTTCCACGATGTATTATTCGATAAATATTGCAAAATAATACCCCAAAATACATCATCAAATATTGGTGGGCGTGCATCGGTTAACTACGAGGCGTAAACTGACCTACTAACCGGGTGTCTTTGAAATTTTCCACTTTCCGCACAACAACCGCTCGACGATGTCACACACACACAATTACATAATAACGATAATCGATTCCACAAACGAGTCTCCTTCAGACACGAGCATTCATTACTGTTACCATTTAACAACTGTCATATTGCAATTATTATAGATACTCGATTCTCAGAACAGGCAAATTTTCAGAATAATTTCTGCAAATAAACGTTTTCAACGATGTAGACAATTAATCTAGCTACAATTTTGCAGATAACGTTTTCCCAAATTCAATTGTCAATTTCCATAAAATTTATAAACTTTAAATTAAAAAAAAAAATCAGATCAAAATAGTGATAAGATAAATCACAGTGACTACTGCATTTTCAAATCATTACGTGTCAAAATGTTCGAGTGAAAGAATAGTAAACATTCTCGGCACCCTATATAATCTCGGCACCACTTATACAACACTCGATATGTTCCAAAAACCAGCAATTAACTAGAAGAAACCATTAACGCCAATTACGCACTCTATATATATATATAACCTCACAAAAAGTAAATAAAGTAAACTCTACAATAGGTTCATTAACCGCCACCATCGCTACTACCACCGATATCACCGAAGACTTCCGAACCAGTCGAAAACAACAACACGAAAGCTCGATCGGGTAAAAACCCCCATTTACCTGCCAGCCCCATTTTCAAAACAGTGTCAAACGTGTGCTGCGGATCAGACTTCGAGGTCCCCGATCGTTCGTCCACAAATCCTTCTGATCGTTCTTGGAAAAAGCTCTTCGCAGGTACCCTCCATCATCGTTCTTATCACCAAGACAGCAGCAGCAGCAGCAGTAGCAGTAGCCTGGTGAATTACGTTACAACGTGACGCGGTCTTTAATTGCGTAATTGCTCGGCCATCGCACAATTGTTCGGCGATCACGGGAGACACACTCGAACCGGCGTCGATTTCTATGTACGACAAGCGAAACGAACGAGGGGTTGAAACGTGTCGGAACCTTGTCGAACAGGTAGTGAAATCGTCCTAACGATAACCCCTTCGACAATTCCCTGACAACGTCGCGGAGATGACTGGTGAGCAGCTGACGCGTTTTCCGCTTGACTCGCGGGCCAGGAGTGGGGGTAACTCGAGTCTACCATGAAGAATGGATATAGCTCGCGGAGATAACTAGGAGTGGGGGTAACCAGGAGGATTAGGAGTGGGGGAACGTTCGCGCTCTACAGATTAGGAGTGGGGGTGAGGTGAAGTTGGCACGCAAACGTATCGAGGGTTGATTCTTTAAGGGGCTGCATATACAGGGTGTCTCTGAAGTGGCGCTACAACTCGAAAAGGGACCAACTACATGAAAAAATAAATCGAATATATAAAGTAACATATTTTTATACGAAGCTTCATTTCTGAATATATCGACGTTGAAGATTCGTTTAGTACGCGTGCAATTGCACAAAGACACCGTGTATATAGTGTCGTTTAAAAGTTAGAGATCAGTCGATGCTTCAGCGAAGATAGTTCAACTCTTCTCTAGCAGTACCAATTACAATAGCTTTTTTATATTTTTAGTCTATTTTGAAAAGTACTATATTTTTTTGTACTTCAAAAATCAAACTTGCTTTCAGAATGCATGAAGAATACCGATGTCACGCGATCCTTGAATTCAGGATTGCAGTTAATCTTCATCACACTTACATCTTACTTTTTTTAATGTTTACACATCATTAATCTGTTTTTCCTACAATTTGTTAGCACGTATTAACTGAAAAATCATCGACACGGATAACGAGCAAAATCAATGACAAATATCAGTCTTCACAATCAATCATTATACCCTATAGAAGCTACACAGTACCTAACCTTTATTGTTTCAAGTTCATTATTCGACATTAATTCATAAATCTAGTCACCTGCTAAGTCTTCTTTTAAACAATTGAGAATCAACTAAATTAGTATAAGTAGTTGCTGGAACAATTTGCAAAACAAAATAACAACATCTCTATGTTGTTCTATTTTTTATTAATTTATAGTTCACTAAAGTAACACATGTAGATAAAACTAGAGTCGCACAATAGGATTTACTTTAAAAGATTTTGCTATCAACAGAGATAACAATATGAGGAACAACTGTGAATCCTGTAGCAAGATTACGTGAACCGAAAATCGCAGGATATTGCGTCACTGTGCTCTCGAATGACATTTAAAATAGTCCAATAGCATTTTTACCTCGAGGAATTTGCGTCAAGCCCGAAGAGACTTGAGATTGGCCATCAGACGACACATAATGATTTATAACATAACGTGAAATGCGTATTTTTGCAAATGAAAAATCTCAATCTTCGCGGTTATGTTGTACTCTATTGCACCTCATCCAATACTACAGTTATAATGTTTCCAATGAAATATTCGTGGAAGAAATTTAGAACAATAGCCTGAAGGTAAATAATATTATAGAGTAGAAATTTTGTCTGAAAAGAATTCGCATAGGGTGTTAAGACTGCATTTGTTAGGACATTGCACACGCATAGCGATACATCGATCATATCACTATTGATGAGCTACCGATTACGAGCAAAGCATTAGGAATAAATATATCTCAAATCTGAATGTGGCCTGCCTTCCCAAGATTATGTGAAATATTCGGCAAAATCCGAAATTTAAACATTCCGAGTATTTGAATTATACGAATAACGAATTCGTATTCGAAATTATCCGAACTATTCGAACAGCTTGACTACTTGAAGTTTTACAGCCCTAATAAATACTTAAAAATATTCGAATGATGTAAGTTAGTAAAATCGAAGTTGTGCTATTTTTAGAATAAAACCTGTGTGATTCCCGCTTATTTTTTGCAAGCAACAACGAAACAAGAGTTTCCAGTAAATCTCAACTCGAATTCGCTTATAATTTGAATGGAATTCACGCACGTGCGAGGAAAAGTCGAATTTTCAAGGAGACATTCCATCCGGATTGTTCAGTCGCGCGACAAAGAATTTCGATTGGTTTTGCACCAAGGTATATTTCCATCTAAGGGACAAGCAGCGAGGAAAAGGGGGTGGAAGTAAGACAGAGAAGGGAGAAGAAAATTGTAACAAAGCCGATGGCTGGTAAATGAGTCAGTTTACGATAAACAGAAAGGAACGAGGCAGTTTCTGCCGGCTGGGAGACAATGAGACAGTCGTAAATGAATCATTTCAATGTGCTGGCTCTGACTATCGCCGCTGACAGCACGATAATTACTTATGCTTGAAACGGGAATCTCGTCGTAAACGTGCGTTTCCAGGCGTCCACCAACGGAAAAATTGATCCCTACTACACTAATCTGTCCTCGTTAATAAAAAAAAAAAAATTCCTATCTATACCAACTGTTCACTTTTTAGAATATTTTGAAATATTTGTTTTTTCAATACTTTTCACGAAAACGTATTTACGAGAACAGTTAGAGTAGGTGTCCTACGTATGTGCTTTAAAACGCCATTAAAAAGATTTCAAGCTGCAAACTTTTTTGCGAATTTTAACGTAAGCAGAGAATAAGGATAAAAAAATATACGATTGCGATTTAAGAAAATAAATATTAAGGGTAGAGAGTCTGAATTGTACGGTGATCTAAAGATTATGAAAAATCTATACGAAAAATTCCAAGGTTATTTTAAATCTTGCAAATTTTCTTCTCAAGAAATCTTTGTTATGGTAGAGAATTTCGTCAATAATTTTTTTTTAAATATCGTGGCAGCCATTTGTTTTAATTGCTATATTATTAGATTTCAATTTGGACTCCTAGCCTTTCAAAATATCTACCCTGAAGAATTGATAAAATTAACGATATTATATTACCTGTTATATTAATTCCATTCCCCCCCTTTTTTTTTCATTAACGAGTTAAGTTAATGAAAAAATCTTCTCTTTATAATGTACGTGATAATATGCGTGTAAAATGTAAATGTTTTCCTATTATGCAGCAGAATTACGTTCCATTTGTTGATACTCGTTTGCAGTTAGAATTGCATACCAGTTCAAATCAGAAAGATAAGGAACAAATGCTCGTTACTTAGAAATCACCGATACGTGTGAAAGTTTCGGTAATAATTCGACTTGGTTTTCTTGAATGGTATTTCAACGATAACTTAAAAGATAAGATAAGACACGTAATAAGTATATTAATTACACTTCTAAAGAACGTTTGAAAATTTATTCATTTGTACGAAGCTACGTACTTTCAAAATTACATACTTATTTATGCGATTAATTATGTATTAATATCTGATTAAATATGAAAAATTGATATGAATTTATATTTACATTGTATTTTATAAATGAAGTAAATTTTGTTCGATGTACAATATTCGAAACGAAAGTACGAAAAAATTTGTTCGATCAACTCTATCTGAGTTCGAATCAATTTTTCTCACTATATTCTCGTGGTTCCTTCTTTACTAACATAGAAAAATATTCATCTTTCGAAATCGTGTGGAACTTACGAAATGTAGAATGTACTTAATCTTAGAAGACTTCGCACATAATTGTATTTTAATGGAATACTTAGAAAGAATAATTGTTTAATTATATTCGTTGAAATTGAAACATTTATTAAATTTTAGATAGTGACAATTTAAAAACGTTTGAAACAAAAGACGTGAATGAGAAAAGTGTGTAAATTAGGTAGCCCAATGTTTGAAAGCATACAATTTGATAGATACTGGTTTAAATTTTGCAATCAACATTTTTCTAGGGGATTAAGAAACTAACATTTCAAGTATTTCATTAGAAAAAAAATTTCGACTTTTAGGAAAGTAAATACAATACGATGTTTCGTAAAATTGAATACAATCGGTATGCAATTAAAGATTCAACTTCATTTTAATTTTGCATCATACCTATAACTTTTCAATATCTTTCGAAGAACGCACGAGATTTCAGAAAATAACATTTTTTCTGTGGAAATACCGTTTGAGATTGACAACGAAAATTGAGAGGAATTTTTCTTTGAAATGGCTTCTAACAATGCAACGAAGTAGTTTCTTACTAAAACCACATTTCCATTTTTAGAAAGAAAAAATTTTATTTACCGCGTTGAGAACGTGCTTAATCACGGTTCTTACAAAACCCCACCTGATAGCCGCAGCAAATTAATTTTAATTAACTTCCAAGTTACCATACGGTTCTAATTAATTAAAGCGGTGTTTAAACAAAAAAGTACATGGTTTCCTTATCGGATTAAAAATTTCTGGAATCTTAAATCACGTCAATAGACCGTTATTTAAACAGCAAATAATTATTTAAATAATTAGTACCTAATTAATTAGTATCTTCTCATTTACTGTATTTCAAACCTATAGCATTGTCCATATCAATGAACTGAAATATTATTAAAGAAATTTCGGAAAAATATTTATCAATTTTTGTAAATTATTTCATTGCCAATTTTCTACAGAAAATTTTTCAATACTAAGGCATTGCAATTATCTTATTCTAAATTGGATTGGTAGATTTTTTAAACGATATAGGACAACTCTTTGTTTGTTTTTTTTTTGTTCCCTATTATTTCAGCTACACAAGTGATATTTACAATTTTAGCAAGTATAATAATCACAGCAACCAGTTGTAAAGATTGTAACGTTACATACATAATCCTTCGTCGAAAATTAACCTTAAAAGTGAATGTATTCATCTCTCTGAAAATTTGTCATTCCTTTCCTCCATTACAAATTCCAGACTGTCCAATCAAGTATTCATACTTTAGTATATGTACAGGAATAATTTACATTATTTCCATAAAGCATTCAGTTTCATTATTCACGCCACTAATGTTATACGTCTCATTTTCATCCGACAATAAATTCACATTGCTGATGTACGCCAAGGAGAAAGCATAAATAATCACAAAGAAATCGAACGGACGATGCACTGGTCGTCAGTGTCACCGTGACCAGTGTATCTATCGATAATAGTTATCGACGAAGGGCCACAACACTTACCGAGGACCTCGAAAAGCTGATCGTCGAACCGCATTTCGGTGCGTGTTTCGTAGAGTTCGAACTGGTTGCGG